ACGTTTTGAGTATCATGCAGTACAGTGTATCAAGTAGCTTCTGGCCTCATATGCTGACGGCTCGACTTGCCTGTCCCTGTCTGTGATCGTCGCATTTTGCTTCGTGCTATCGGAATGGATGGAGTTGGTTAGTTCTGACCAGAGGTGACCTACGCAGTGAAACAATGGTGTATCACACATCAAAACGTCCATGCTTGGTTCTACTAAATTGTCTTTTTTCTTTTCTACTGCATGGCCCATGCATTATAGAGTTTTGGTGTGCTTACCTGTCCCAAACTTGGAAGGCAGGAAGTTCTTGTGACTGGTACAATACTGACCCTTTGACATATGGTCTGTAGCAACCGGGCTTCTTCATGTTCGGCTGTGGCATGTATTCTTTATGGTACAAGCCTGCTCATAAATTTCTGGCACTTGTATCTCTCTCCTTTTGGACCATGCTGACTTAAATTATGGCTTGTAAGTACGAATATGAAGAGTTTTGATATATGTCAGAAAGACATACAGGGTGTGTCCAGGATCCGTTAGCACTTATTTTTTTTTTAATTTTGCCCTGCAGTGCCATCTGTTGGCGAGTTGTGGCATTAAGATTCTTGAACTTTCAGCTGTGGCTGTCTATAATTTCAAAAAAGTGACCGAAATCTTTGCATCAGACAGATGTGTTTCTGCAAGACTCATTGAGGAGGTTTTGGGAATACCAAAAAGTACTGTGCATCAAATTTTGACCGATGATTTGGGTAAACGGGAAGGTCTGTGCGCCGTTTGTACCGCACGCGCTGTCAGGCGATGAAAAACATGCCAGAGTGGAACACTGCAAACACATGATACGGTCGGCCCAAAGTGATACAAAATTGACAAAATCGATTGTTAGTGGTGACGAGACGTGGTGTTTTCAATACGAGCCTCTCACAAAGCGGCAGAGTGCAGCGTGGTTGAGCCCAAAGAAACCGAAACCAAAGAAAGTGCGCATGCAAAAGAGTCGAGTAAAGACACTGCTAACCGTTTTCTTCGATTCCAAAGGAATCATTCACAAGGAATTTCTGCCGGAAGGTCAAACAGTGAATTCTTATTATTATCTCGGAGTCCCCAATCGTTTGTAGGCGAGAATTCTTCGAATTCGACCTGAATATCAAGAGCAAGGTTCCTGGTCGCTCCTCCACGACAATGCCCCACCCCAGAAATCGAAGATCGTGCGCGATTTTTTGGCCAGAAAAGGTACCAGTCCTTGAGCATCCTCCGTATTGGCCATATTTGGCTCCAGCAGATTTCTGGTTGTTCCGAAAAGTTAAGTTGGCAATGAAAGGAGACCGTCACGACACCATCCGGGACATCCAAAGGGAATGTACCGCCGTTTTAAATGCGATTCCACAAAAGGAGTACAGTGACTGTTTTCGAAAACTTTTCAATCGATTCCAGCTATGTATTGATTCAGAAGGAGACTATTTTGAAAATTTTGAAAAAAAACATTTACGTCTTATATTTTTAATGAACACAGTCCTTGCAACCTGGACGCACTGTGTATGGACGATCCTAGGCGCAACAAATTTGATATGAAGGGAGCACTGAAAAAGGCGTGTAATATGGAATAAACGTATTGAAATTAGAAATTAACGTGTTGTTCGAAGAATGATTTTTACCTGTTGTTGGATTTTTGTGAACACGACATTGAATAACTTTCGTGTTCCGTAAATTGGGGCAATTTTCTGAGCTGCTAAGCGACTACCAGCTTGTCAAAAGGGTCTCTACTGTGTAAAGTTGGTTTACTAATTCCTTTAATCTATTTCTGTATTTAATATTGCACAACATCCCCCCCCTTGGCACTACAGCCCCAGTGGGCCTAGGCCTACCTCCATGGAGACTATATACGGATGAAGATAGGATAATTACGAGTAATTTGTGTGAAGCAGTTGGCAGAATGATAATTGGCAGGGGAAGCCGAAGTACTGTGTCCACCACAAATCCCACATGACCTGACCTGGTGCTGCGGTGGGCGGACGGCGTCGGCAGCCCGAGGTATGGCTCGGCCGCCCTGCAGCGCTGAAGACAATAAAACACGAGACAAAAAGAAATTTACAAAAATAAAGAGAAACAATATCATAAACTTTTAATATTGCACAACATCCCCCCCGGTGTAATATAGTAGTGTTGTATATGACGGTGTAATGGAGTAGAAATCATTAATATAACAGGTATATGGTGGATAAAATAATTACAAGGTTTTTGGTTCATAAGTAACATTTTATTAAATCCACATGTAATACTTACTGAGAACTGAGAAATGGAACAGCACAGGCTTGTCACATACTGTAACTCGACTTTCACCGATGTTATCTGCCAGAGGGCAAACAAGACTTATTTTGAACTAAGGGAAGCAAATAAGAATAGTCACGTAGCTTCACAGAGAAACTAGAAAACATCAGTTAAAGTCCGAGAAAGCAAGCCAAGGTCCGGGAAGACCCACCATATGAAATAACAATAGAATGTTCTAGAACATCCCTATCTGATGAAACTTGTATCTTCCAGGGAAGCTTTCACACAACCCCCACCCCTGCGGACAGGGCTATAAGAACCCTGACCCAAACCATCCAAAACGCTTTCTAATCTGATTACGAAGTTTAGTCTGTAGGACGGTACTTTGTCAGTTAGGAGTCGGCCACTGCTCAAGCCTTAAGCAGACTTGCTGTTGTTACATTTGTACACTTATTTATTGTGTAATAAACTCTCTTGAATCTTAGCATCTTCCAGCAGTTTATCTCACCAACGACGGACAACGTTAGCCGCTCAACCGACTCCGTCGAGACCAACCCACAGGTACAAGTATCCACTCTGTCGCCCGACATTGTGGCATACGACAGTACAATCATCAGGCGCATTCGGCAGAATGAACTGTAAATAAATTACATAATTAAGTCTGCGATGAATTCTTCCCTTGTAATAAATATTAATATTACATGCCACAGTTCACGGTGGACGAGAAGTCAAAATTACGTAAACTTACTGAATGACTAGACAGTCAGCGTTAAAGCTTCAATATTTGCTGTTGTCACATATTCTAACCCAACAATTAAATCTAAATAATTAATTAGTTTAATGTATGTTTCAAAGTCCTATTGTAATAGAGCGTCACACTATCAATAATAGGATATTTTTTTGTTCTTGTTATTTTTCTTAACTTCGACTGTGTGCTCTGGACACGGGGCTGATTGCTGAATATGAGTGTCTGAAAATGTATTCATAATATCCATTATCTTTAGTTGTCTTGAGATCTCTCAATATGCGGAAAGAGTGTACCGAATATAAAATCTGTGCTTTATTTTTCTCTACAAGATTAATCGAAACCTTTCTTCTCCACAAAATATTTAGCGAGACATGCGCAGAATTATATTTAGGTTTTCTTTCAAAAACTTCGTTAAATATGTCCAATCTAAATGAAATTAATGTTGCTTCATGATATTTCGTACAATTCTTCAGTGTCAAATTTCATGAAAATCTGTTTATTGGTTCTCAGTAGGCTGTCTGCATGACTGCGAATGTATATAGAAAGAAAAAAAAAAGAAAAATGTATAGATAAATAAACAACAACATTGAGGAATAAAGATAGAAATAGAAAGACAGGAATGTAGAAGCAAGGATTAGCTAGCCAGATAGCGCTAGCATAGAGGCTTAGTGGATTTAAAGTGCGTGCCATTGTATGACACTCTTTTCCTTGCACCCTTGAGTGCTCGCCTGTTAGTAGGAGATGGGGCTTAAAGGTACGATAAAGTGTCTGTTTGCGTTTAGTTTTAAACTTTTAAATTCTGAATCCATTCTCCGGTTTTCTGTCATAAACTGTGTGAATATTTTGACGTTGAGGGTCGTCCTGTACTCATGCACATTAATACACGGCCAGAGTTCTATTTCCGGCACTCTATAAGCAATTGCAGTGCAGACCTACTAATATGGACATGGTGACAACTAAGAGGAGTAAACCCAGGCGTAGACTGGATACTGGCCACAGAGATAAGTTTTTTTTTAAAATAGGTATTTGATATTACAAATAATATGACTGAGATAAGTTACTGATTACAAGTATGAATAATGGAATGATAATATAGCTATAATTTGAAGTCTTAATGTAAAAAGCCGTCGTTGTTTAAAGATAACCTACAAGAATGTATTCTCATTTATCCGTTGCAAGGGACGAGTTCAAATAGTCCGAACTACACTTCGTTTCTTGTAACTTTTGCTCCTGGTGTGATCCACAAATTACTTCAGTTGGGTTGCGGGCAATTTTCATAGGTCCATAACATTTGGCTTCGGTTGACCTCGGTAGCTAAACAGAGTTATCAGGCATCGAGAGTTCATGCATAACACTTCTTAATCTCTCACGTTTCTTAATGACAGTGAATTCTGCGGGATATTAAGCAGGTTATGTGGTAATCTCTGATTTACTGGGTTCCTCTTCCGGTTGGGTTCTATCCGTCTTTACAGATAAATAGTGGTATAACACACATAATGAAGTTCGTACAGCTTTGACAAGATAGCTTTGTCTTTCTGGCGACGCTTTCCTCCATTAATAACAGGGCACGTAACCCTAGACGTCTCCTGAGAACAGAATTTAATGTGATGATTTGCACTATCGCAGTGAAGTTCGAATTTGGCCAGAAAAGCAGATAGACACTTTGATACTTGTGTACAGGAGTAGACCTACAGACACAGCTGCTGTTTCGCAAATTGCGAGACCATGGTAGTATAACAATAAAAAAAAACTTGATGAATTTAGAAGTAGAAACGATAAGTGAGCAGACGGCTTTAAGCTACAGAGACTATGGCTTTGTCTATTCTTGTCGTGATCCTAGGACCTGTTATCTGGTTACTGCCCCTTACCCTGGGGATGAGTATGTGAAGAATTCGGCCTTCTGCTGGCCCCATGTTGTGATCTGAACCACGCTGACCCCAACGTTGAGTTAAGACAATGGTACTATCAAAGAGTTGATATGAATGGTCTGTTGTCGTGCCTATAGGATGGAGTCTGGTTGGCTGCTCCCGACTTGGTGGGCCCATGCCGCAACCTGGACGCTGCTGCTGACCTAAGTGGTAGCGCAGGAGAGGACGAAGTAGAGGAGGAGGAGGAGGAGCAGGACATGGGTCAGAGGTCATCCTCAATCCTGGCGGCGCGAACTCGTCCCAAAATCTCTCTTACTTGGGTGTTAAGAGGTGACCGACAGAACAGTTCTACCATAACCACAGCCACCACCACCACCACCAGCACAACTGCTACGATAGCGACATCTCCTTCAGTTGCTGCCGATGAACCGCTACCGTCTTCTGCGACAGTCGTGAACAGCACAGAGAAGCCAGCAGCCAAATATAACGCTAAAGCACATATAAATAATATCAATGCTAGAGCGAACAGTGGAAGCAACAGCAGCAATAGAAGTGTGGGTGTGATCGCAAAGAGGGCCTTATCGGAACCGTCTTTGTTGCTAGCTAACAGTGAGAGTGGCAGGAGTGGGAAACATCGACACCACCGCACTCGTACACCGAGACACAAGACTGGAAAAGAGAGAAGACATTCTCGTTTTGGGTACGAGATTCAGGATGTGGATGCGTTTCTAACGAAGGTATGTAATGAAAGCGCATTCTAAGGGACTCAGATTAGGTAGCCCACATTCAGTACTGTGTATTTAGGGCAGAATTTGTTGTGTCCTGGGCTACCTTCGGCCAATGTATAATTCTTCTCCGTCATCTTAAATTGGGGATCTTTACAACAGTGGGCAAAGTATTCATATTGCCGTCTTTTCGCTGGCTCCAGTTTAATTCTAGAGAGGGATTCATTTGCCCGTTCTTCTCGTTTGTTTAAACACACGTACCCACGCCAATGCGTTTTTCCACAAGTTTAATTAACCTCTTATACAATTTTAAATGAATTTTCCTAGGAATTACCAGAGTGTCTGTAAATGTTTCCGCTTATAGGTGTGAACGTCTGCCTTTTATTTTGCGAATCTGTTTCATCGTCTGGGGTTTTCAAATGTCAAGGACATTCAAATTCACGTACTTGTCTCGCTGGTTGTATCAGCGAACACTGTCTCTCACATTACTAGACCTCCTCTTTAAAATGTTTCTTCTTCCTTGTATGGACAGAAAAGTTCATATACTCGTACTCGTATAATAGTTAATTTTCAATTTCAGTACATTTATATAAAACATGGATTTTTCTTTCAGCATGCAGCACATGATCATCTGTATACAGTACTTCACTGACACTCTTAGGCTGCCCACATACTAAAGTAGGCTGCGTTTTATGGCCAATACAGTAAACCCTCGCTAATCCAGAGTAACTGGGGGGAAGGTCATCCGGATTATTGAACTAAAAGAAAAAGAAACGTGGAACACAAACAAATGGACAACGTAATAATACAACTAGTGCTGAAGAAAATAAATAATAAAATGCCACCATATAGCCTTTATTTAAAAGTATAAAAAGACAGTACGTTTATTCATCGATAGAAGACTCAGAAGTTGTACTCCTTTTTTAACGTAATAGCGCAGGGTTGAAGAAACTGTCAAGTTTTGTCTGAACAGAAAAGTGACTCGTCTGCCTTCCTAAATGCCTTGTGTCTTTTAAAGTATGTACTCAACTGTAAAGAGCGTATTTCATTTTTTATATTTCGATGCAGATTATCCGACATCCAGATTAACTGTAAGCGGATGATCGAGGGTTTAGCACCACTGGAAGGCTACGTAGCGGCGCTGTATCAGCTAGAAAGCTATGTAAATTTGAATGGGGCGTGATGAAGTCAGAAATTTAGAATGCCATTTTGAGTGTACTAATTCGTCTGATAGGGCCGAGAAAACTGAGGAAAGACGTGAGTCAGGATAGCCGAGTTCTGGCTGAAATTCTAGCTGCCTACCTCCTGGACGATAAAATTCCGCTGTTTTAACTATGAACTAACCTACTATAGCGCTTGACATTTACTCAAGTTCTGATGAGGTCTTTGGATTTTTTTCAGTTGACCTAACCTTCCAGCCGCACTAGGCCCTGGGGTTTACTCAGCCTCTAACAGAAATGAGTACCAGGAATTAATTAATTAATTTTCCTGGGGAGTAAAGCGCGGCCGGCGCGTAGGGCTGACAACCTTACCGCCATCTTTGAGCCGATTGTCTAAGAGTCTAGACAATGTGGGACGCTCAACGTCTCACAACCCTATGGGCCTTTACGGCCTGGTTCGTGGATAGCTTTACTTACTTTACAGTATTCAGATAATGTAAGTAAGATGCTCGGAAGTAAATTCGATGTGTTTGGTAGGCATTTACGCGTATAAGCTGTGTATACGAATACACGTAAGATGCCTATGAATAAACTGACTTGTCATAAGGTAACAAAATTGCCCTACTTCGAGAGATACGAGTATATCGATGTTCGTGCCTTTCAGAATCAAAACCTTAGGCTGCAAATTAACGAGACGCAAGACATAAGTCGCATTTAAGGAATTCTTTATTATTTGTTATTTTACTATTTATTATTCTTTATTTTTACAAAATATCTGTAATAATAAGTGCATGAACATTTATTATTATTATTATTATTATTATAACCAAGAATTGAATTGAATTATTATTATTATTATTATTATTATTATTATTGGACCGACTCTATGATCTGATGGTCAGAGTTCCTGGCGCTACCAGATTTTCTGAGAAGTAGTGGGTCTGGAACGGGGTCCACTCAGACTCTTGAAGATAACTGAGGAGCTATTTCATGACAACAGCGGCTCCGGACTAGAAACCCGAAATTAACGGCCGTGGGGATTCGTTGCGCTGACCACTCGACACCTTCTATGTGCTAAAGTTGGCACTAACTTCGCCGACAAGTGGCGGTCGCTCGGTCCGTATAGTTCGCTTGCGGACTAAAACCACGGAGTTTGTTTGTTTTTATATTATTATTATTATTATAAACTTCGCCTAAAATAATTTTAATTTTGGAGCTTCTTTAGATGATGAATGTCATATTCAGTAGAAGAAACTAATAAAATAAAGTGTATTTGTGCTTCAGAGGATAAAGAACTTTATCGAGACCTGCGATTCGCCAGTTGATATCCTTTGTCTGCACATACTGTACTAGTGGGAATCTGGATTCTCGAATTACGCAGCGACAAAATAAAATAGAGAAACAAATCGAATGGGGGGCCAGGATTGAGAATTTAGATTTCCAATATCAAGCCGAACTTAAAAATAATTTTTGCAGAAGAAATGAAGACTATTCTTCGCAATGAGTATTGTAAATGCGCGGCATATTAGAGTTTAAGCTCAATTTTTCGTATATATGAAGTGCGACTTTTGTTTCTGAATATATACAATTAAATGATATGTTGATCTCATGTCCTCACTTTTACTTATTTATGGCCTAGAGTTTTGTTTCACGTGTAAGAATTTTATTAGGAGTTTCGTAAATATGTTTCGAAAGTGAAATGATTCCATGCAAAATTAAATTGAGAAACGCACCGAAGCAGGTCATTTAGTACATAATATACTCATAGATAGGCCTGAAATATATCTAATACTGCTACCGTTTGTGTACAGACAGAATACTTCACGTTCAAATCTTCTCACGTGAACGGAGAAGTTCATGGAGGTTGGCCTAGGCCCACTGGGGCTGTAGTGCCAAGGGGAAAAAAATCCTCTCACAGGTTCTTCCCAGGACGTCCTCTTTATTACTAGGTCTGGGTGGCTTCTACTCTTCTCTGTTTTCTCGGAATTTCTGGGGCAGTATATGACCTAGTTACAAATCACCATTTCATAATTAGTATACATTTCCTGCTATTCATGTTGGTGTCCTAGAATTTTTCTTTTTTCCTTGGCACTACAGCCCCAGTGGGCCTAGGCCTACCTCCATGAACTTCTCCGTTCACTTTGGTTTTTCTAGGTTTTACACATTCGGTAGGACTCCTTGGGCGGGTGATCAGCTCGTCGCATGGCCTCTACCTGTACACAAACACAGAAAAGCGCACACAGACAAACTAAACATCCATGCCCTGAGTGGGATTCGAATCCACGATCCCGGTTTCCAAGCGGGCAAAGACAGTACAAGCCTTAGACCGCTCGGCTACCATGACCGGCGGTGTCCTAGAATATTTCTTCTTATTCTTCTTTTGTGGCAAGAATTGTGTCACTGTCCCGTTCCGAAGCTACTCGAGCTGTTCCTAGATCGTCCTAGGCCCTCTCTTCCCGCTTTCAGGACTGTCCTCTCTACACATTCCGGCTTGTTTGGAACTGTTCGTTTTGTTATGTTTCTAGTCGTTCCCGTATATCGTCACTTTTCATTTTGTCCCTCAGCGTAACACCACAGAAACGTCATCTGAGCCGCTCCTATCCGCTTCCTGCCTTGGCTTCTTAGCCCTCGCGTTTCGCTGCCATGTATAAAGGCTGATCTGGAAGGAGCATTCTTAGTTGCAGTTCTAGCCCCATATCATTTTGAAAGGTCTTCTAATAATTCCAGTTAGTTTATGTAGGAGTATGATTTGAGGTTCTCACAACGTTAATTGTTAGAGTTCTGTCTTCTGGGATATAACACCATTATATTTCGAAAGAAAGAAACCGCCATTTAATTTATTATACAGTATATTGAAACACTGATATGTTGGGATTTTGGACTTTATCCATCGTCCTGGTTTTTAAGATAACAAATAAAAACACGACGTTTCGGAAACTGGATCTGTTTCCGTCCTCAGGTGAAGGAAAACACCTATTCAGTTGGGTCCCTTAGAAAGAGCTAGCTAGCCTCAATCACTGGACTGTCCAGTGATTGAGGCTAGCTCTTTCTAAGGGACCCAACTGAATAGGTGTTTTCCTTCACCTGAGGACGGAAACAGATCCAGTTTCCGAAACGTCGTGTTTTTATTTGTTATCTTAAAAACCAGGACGATGGATAAAGTCCAAAATCCCAACATATCAGTGTGTTATACACCATCGTCAGAATCCTATAGTAACTACTAGTATATTGAAACTTTCTCTTTGAATTTAAAATCGCAGTATATGTCTCTCGGAAGTGATATATCATAAAATTAACTTTGTGTAATACTGTCTGCATTGTTTCAAAAGCGTTAGACTAAATAATAGCACAACTGCATCAAGTTCTGTTTTAAATTAGGCAAAACTGAAACCTGCGATATATTAAAGCCTGTGCTTAGGGAGAGAACGATAAACGTAACTTAAAAATCTGATTTGTTCTCGGTGCTCAGAAATGAAAAGACATCCCCAAAACGCTAAAAGTTAAATATGCATTCACGGATGAAAATGTAATACGAATTAGAGACCTGTTGAGGAAAACAGGCGCCTCATCATCCGTGAATTGAATGTCATTAGGATCATACAGAGCATATTTACGCCTTATCTGCCGACTGACGAGCAGAGGCAGAATCTTGTCAGCAAGTGTCAGGACCAAGGTAGCATTTCAGAGAGGCGCGCAATGTTTATAAGGTCAATGCTGGTGACAAAACACGAGCATCTTTACAACCGTGACACACAGCAGGCTTTCGGAACTCAGGAGTCAAAGTGTCTAAACAAAGACAGGAAAATACATTTCACTGCTAAGACATAATGAAGCTCTGCATTAAAATTTCGTACTTAGGGACAACCCGAGAAATAGTGGAGTGATGATTGTATTTTCCAACACAGTGGCACTCTTGTCCATTCTGCTATATCAGGGTAGGAATCTCTGGCCAGAAACCGCATGAATAGTGCTCATCCCTTCATACTTCACAAATCTAGCATTATACGACGCTTATATTTTCTCATAATCGAAAGACAAATCATCTTATGATAGCTATCAAAGGAAAACTGCAGACGGCACTAGCGGGGTTTAAGTATGGGTCTTCCATACATCCTTACAGTAGTGACTGAATCGCTGTGTCCGGAAGTAACAAGGGCCAGCACGGAGTAGCCGCAAAACACTGCAAGTAAAAAGAAAAGTACCTCGTATTATTAACTTGAAATTATGCAAATTTACACGAATCCACTCCGTCTTTCGATTGATGTTCGCAGAACAAACAAGATGCATGTAGACGTTTTGAATATATGTCGAATATAGCCAGAAACTTGATTATGTAGCCTTAACCCCTTTCGATAACTTGAATTGCGTTCGCATTCGGCCAAGTTTGTTGTTCCCGAATTTGTGAACCTAGATAAAGTCCGGTGTTGACTGACATATTTCTTGTATACCCTCTCCAGATTTTTCCAGCTTCTGCTTTTGCTGCGCACGCCTGATCGGTGACAACGGTGAACATTTTTTTTTTCCCCCCCACGTTTCTTGGCTTCCATCTCCTCGTAGTCAAGCAGCTGGCCGACTTCTCCCCAGAAATTGTTACCCGTTGTAGTTTATAAAATAAATTTGTTTGATAACTTGAAGATTTTGGGGGTAAAGGGCGACCGGCGCATAAGGCTGACAACCTCACTGCCACCTGTGAGCCGACTGTCTACAAAATGTTGGGCCTCGACGCCTCACAACCCTCTTGGCCTCCAGAGCCTGTTACAGGGATAGCTATACTTTTTCTACTTTTTTAATTCTGACACTAAAATTTCTACACCATCGTCTGACCACTTCATGATATGTGAGATGTTGATGCGCGAAGAGACAGCCACGTAAAACTATAACAAATGTTTATTGCCGTTAGAATGAATATTACAAGCGATCAGGGAAGCAGAGCGTGTCTGATGAAAACAGGCGAAAACGCCCTTCGTAGCGGATTAACCTGAGCTACAGACGGCGGTGATATGTCTGTCCCTGAAAGGGGCCGTTTGTCGGACGCTGGGAACGCCTGCTGGATGCCGAGCAAAGATCTCGTCGCAGCGGGGTAGCCAGCGCTAGTATCCGCGTTCCTCTTTGCAGCAGCCCGGTGATTGCGAGCCCGCTGGATGCCGGGCGAAGCTTTTAAACGGACCGAAGGCCAACGAATCGTTCGTTCGCCTTCGTTAACATCGTATATAATTACAAATTTCGGTCGTTCTCTGATCTTCGTTATCGTTCATACAGTGTGTACCCTTTAGCTGCGTGGTCGGTGGTTCATGGCCTAATTTATTCCTCCCTGTCATCCCTGTTCACTCTGACACCATACACACATCTCATCTGCTGCACGGTTAGCTCAGTTGTTTAATTATTTAACGAGTTACGAAAGCTTATCTGATTTCCAGACTGTTGAGTAAGGAACACAAAAAGGCCCACTACAAAGCTACCTGATGTGTGTTTCAGGCGTCACTAGAGAAACCGGCGAACATCCCAGTGGTCCTCGCATTCCCGTGCGTCCTTTATCAGACGCGCATAGGTGGTTATCAAGAGGAAGTTGCTCTGCCACTCGGAATGGTTGTGAACGCAGTTTTCAAAAATCAGGCATGGCTGTACGTCCAGACTCCTCACGGGGAAGAGGGCTATGTAAGCTACGTTGCATGTCTTCCACTAGGAATACTACCGCCACCCCATCGAACTTCCAAACCACCACCATGCTGGGAAACGCACACAGATATCTTCCCACAACCACTCGGAAACCGTACAGACAGTGAGAAAATCCGAGACGGCACGAGATCAGAGTGTGGAGGTCGTGGACGTTGCTATAGCCACGTGGGAAGACGTGGACGCTATGGCGGAGAAAGAGACGCTGTGTCAGCATGTGGGGAACGAAGTGTGGACCGTCTTTACCTTAGAGCTGCAGCAAGTGCCAAGTGTAAAGGCACAACGAGACACACTCTTCTTGTGATACGGTCGGATTATAACAGCAAGGGACGAAACACGCTCTCTGTAACAAAGGGAGATGTAGTAGCACTTGTGAGTGGGCACCTCAAGGATTGGTTCTGGGTGCGAAGTAGGGATGGCAACGAGGGATTTATACCTTCAGTTGTTGCTGGACATGGCTTCCTCTGACAACAAAACAAATCACTGGTTCTTTGAGTAGTGCAACAAATTTAACTTCCTCTTGAGAAGAATGCTTTAGTTCAGTCAACAAATATCAAAGAATACAGAGATTTTTCCCTTCAGAAATTTGACAGCATTAACATCTAACATGGGATGAGAACACCCTCAAACTTTTCAGCCATACTCATAGCAGGAAATTAACCGTAACATCGGTTAAATTTTAACCTAATGCTACCTGTAATGGTTCCACAGAAGACGGGGGTCATGACCTGATTTAAAGTAACACACAATTGAAATACAGCTATACATACTTTTTAAAACAACAGTTGCATGTACGCATGAAGCTTGAATAGTGGAATGTATAGATGTTGCCAGTGCTAAGCAACGGCACACCAAATACGTATTCGCGGCAATTGAAGACTTCACGTGTGCTATAGTTACAGTGAGATTTAGAGCATGTAAATCAGTGAGACTGTTATAGTTTCCTGTGGTTACAAGTCATATGCATTCAATAAATCCAGTTATCAATCCAAACCCTGTGTCTAGTCACTAACACATGTCAGTAGGATTAATATAAACCAAAGGCATGAATAAAAAGGTTGTACATATATTAAAAGTGTGGTATACTATTTAGAAAACATACACTGAGAAGCTATCTCACACATTTGATAGTGGGAAAGATGGAAAGAATTAATTTCAGCCCAAGGGCTGCAGTGACATGAAAGATAGTTACACACCGAGATATACTCGTGCAGCACTGCAAACTGATTCAGTTGTTGAGATGGCAGAGCATTTTTGAAAATGTTGTTTTTCCTATTTCAAAATATTTTAATATCTTTTGTTCTAAAAAAGGAAACTAGTTAATATTTTTAGACACAAATTTTGAGTCTGATATCACATAACATTAAACTATATCTTCATGCAGGCAAGTTCATTATATCTCTTATCTTTGCTTCTGATTACTTTGCCTGTCCTATTCAGTTTCCATTCTGAGAGACCAACATAGTAAGGAGTATTCTGCAATAATTAAGATTAACTTTATTCATTGACAAATGTAAAATTTTAATTTTAAATGAGGTCATATTCTATTTCAGATTCTTAAATTACCTTCAGTCAAATAAAGGGAAGTTGAGGAGGGGCGAGTATGATCATTCACTGTTATATTCATTCACTGTGAAATGTAAGACTGAGCCAAATCACTTGTTGCACAAGTGGCTTAACATTGTAAGTAGACATAGTGAATGACAGAAGTTATTATTAACGGATATGTCAATAAATGGTGTAAATATGTAGTTAGTATTTTCTTCTTTGAAACTGGTTTTAGGCACATTTGCAATCGAATGGATAGCCTATGAAATTTACCCAGTCAGTAGAGTTTGTTCAGATCTGGGGGACATGACAGCCATTGCCCTCTACTGACTATCATTAATGAAAACAGTTTGTAGTTCCAACACTGCGAACTACTGTACTTTCCTGCTGAAAATTTATCTAATAGAGTGCATGTGGAGAGAGGGTTGGATATGACAGGAAAAGACAAAGACAATTTTATCTGCATACTAAGCTTTAAGACTAATTAAGTAACAAATATTTCACTTTACTTTATACCATGTAGGCAAATAATACATTATGTTATGACAATTGTATAAAAAAGTGCACTTCATCTTCCAGCAGAATTACGTCACGGGGCAAGCGTAAGAATCTGATCTCGGTAATTGAAATTTGTACAGAGATCAATCTTTGAACTGGAACCAGCCATACACATCACCTGCAAATGTAGCAAACAGGATATTACCAATTATCATCACTGGCAGTCTTAATTCAAAATGTAATGAGATGGAATGGTTCAATTAACTAACACATCACACACAACCACTGTGACCTGAGACATGACCTATTGAAAATACTGTGTTTAAAATGAATTAAAGTAGCAATGTTCTGAAAATTTTCATTTCAGGCATTAGTAATAGTAGCTTTAGCTGCGAGACGTGTGGCAAAAACTGTAAAAGAACTTTGAAGTCAAAAGGTTTTCTTTCTCTTTGCCATCACATATAGATTGTGTATCCTGTTATTTTGCCTCGCCAATGGATAACAGGTGTTCTTTCCTCAAAATTATAATGGCCACAATGTGAAGCTGGTTTCTTATCTGCACCTAATGCAGAGACCAAGAGTGAAACTCCACTCACGCCACCCTCCCCTACAATATGCCTTTATGGTGAGGCATTTAGGCACAAGGACAACTTTACCCTGACAGTAACAAAAAGTGAATGCTGCTTTTAACCCAAGTATATAGAATTTTGTTATTTATTGCTTCAGGAATAAAATGCTTTCATACATTGATTCTGACCAATGAGGAGAATGTTCACACTAGGAAGTGGGGGGGGGGAGAGAAATGGATAAAGCTGAAGTTCATCCACAGACATGAGCACAAAACAGTCTTCTTAAGAGGCCTCTTCTATGTAGAAAAACAATATGTTTTGCACAATAATTTTACTGGAAATATGGACTGGCTTTATTGACTGAACTATAAGACAATGTATAGTGAAAGAGCACCTACTTATAATGAAACTTACACATCCTTGTATCAAAATGAAATGCATAGGATTTGGGGGGAGTATCCCAAAGATTTAACACTTATAATGCAAGATATGGGAAAGACATTAGAATCTCACTGATATAAGGATGGGAAGCAACTGAAATGGTGGTTAATGATGTTTAAACACCAATGAGACTTAAGGAAGCACATTCCACAAATCAGAAGCTGTCTGAAGGGGAACAGAAGCATTCCATGTAACTATGAGTTTGATTCTGGAATCACAGATGATGGAAATACTTCAAAGGATGGATCATAATACGAGAGAGACAATGACTGTAGATAACATTTTCTCCATTTTAAGAAATGTATGTTATGGTAGGTCACAGTAGCCAAGCAGTCTAAGGCATGCACTGTCTTCGCTCGCTCGGAAGCCAGGATCATGGGTTCGAATCCCACTCAAGGCACGGATGTTTGTGTGCATTCTTCTGTGTTTGTCTACAGGTAGAGGCCTTGCAACGAGCTGATCACTCGCCCAAGGAGTCCTACCGTATGTGTAAGATCTAGAAAAACCGAAGTGAACGGAGAAGTTCATGGAGGTAGGCCTAGGCCTACTGGGGCTGTAGTGCCAAAAAAAAAAATAGCATATACTAAGTCTTTTTAGTCTACTGTGTCTTCACCAGTCATTCCTGGTAATGGCTTCTAACAGTGGATATTCTTCAACTGCACCGACTAAGTTTTCTCTTCACAGACTCCCCTACAACTCTCTCTCTTGCTACAATTGTCCTCCGAATAACATCTCAGTATGGACCACACAGAGAACACTGTTCATTGTTTTACTCCAATCATTTCCATGGGACCATGTTTGTTTGCAAAGGCATTACTCAGTAATGGGTATGTATACTTGCCTATTAAGAATCTTAGCAGCAGATGTTGTTCCTTTGTTTGTTTCAAGGTCATTACCCACTTACAGGTCTACATGCTACAATATGTTTTCCATCTATGGTCCTTCTGATGAACTACATAGCAAAGCTCTCAAGTGTCATGTATACAGATATTTGTAAATGAACAAAGAATGTAATGCTTTTCTAGTGCTTGGATTAGTTTCATGACATCTACAGAATATAATGTGAGATATAACAAGTACACGTAAATAACCTTTACTGCTGAAGTTTCATTTATAAATGTCTGCTGTCTCAGTAATTAGGCAGACATGAGCTACATAGCAAGACAAAAACAGGAGTGTGGATGAAGCTTTCAGTGGTGTACACTGAGTACATATGGTATGGTTATTACATTACTGACTTCCTTGAAATAATTGAATCTTTTCCTAAACATTGTATAAGAAACAACATGTTTATTTTATGGATAATTATTAAGTTTTATTGAAGTCATTTTCCTTTCAAGTGAGTATTTAGCAAGATATGCTCAAAGCTGTATTCAGGTGATTAAGTAATGAAATTCACATACAGTAATAACTCATGTAACAATATCATATGCAAATAGCCATTGACATTAATGTGACTTTAAACTGAGTTTCACCACCAGCTGCCAGAACACTCAAAAGATACGTATGACAAAGTACTTAGGCCTTTAAATAAAGTGGTTCTAAAATTAATTAAGTGGATAAATTTTACACACTGTAATACTTGTATAACAAGACAGCTGTATATAAAGTTTCTTCAGAATCTTGAAAAAGATTCAGTATATATACATACAAATTCAGCCTCTTAAAACGAACTGAATAAAATCAAAATGGCAAGACAAATTTAAACATAGGTCTGATCATACCAAGCTTGATGGAAATCAATCAGGTAAGTTAGCTGCTGCTTACTTCTTAACAGAGGGACATGATAAAACTAACAAGCTGTTTTCAAATTATTTTTCAATGTATCTAAAAGGATCAGACTTTCACAGTCCTGGTATTTCATGGTAAACGTCCAAAATAATTTGTCAACGAGCCATAGAGAAACAGTTCCTGTCAGGAATCGTGGACTCAGCTTGATGCGATAATGCACACATTGCCAGTAAACACTTCCACGCTATGATGAAACAGCAGAGGACACTGCTCCTGCTGTTAGGAAACAGGCCTATAAATACTTCCCTGCTGTGACATAACAGTAGATGTGCTGCTGGAGGGGACATTTCCCACTTGTCCGATTTGAAGTATAACAAGCGAAGCTGAGGCAGTGGTGCAGACAGAAGCCAGCTGAGGACCAAGCAGGAAAGAGGACAAAAGCCAGCAGAAGCCAACACGAAGGGAGTGTGTTGACAGAAGCCAGTGGTTAGCCAGTACGGACAGCTCGACATTCTAGTGAGAGTTGTTAACACAAAAGGACTGACTGTGAAACGACTTGTTCAACACTTTGTGTTATAGTTACGGCGTTGAGCAATAAAGTGACGTTGCAAGAATACACCCCTCGAGCTCTCGTTTCACGACAGTTCCCATACCCACTGTACAGGATACTGGGTGGGCCCCAGGGCTGGTCTGGATACTATTGAGGAAAAGGTTTTGCCCCATAAAGTCAATATGTAATTAATAGGCAGGATTAACTGATAAGTATATGGTGCAAATATGTACTTCCACAGTTCATGTTTACTGCAGCAAATTTTTACCTTAAGTGGGGTTTCTTGATACACCGCAGAATAAATGGATGTAGAAGAAGATGGAATTTGTGCATATATATCTCCTGTATAATTTAGATTATAGAAGTGTGGGCTGGCTCCACCAGCCATAATGCGGTCATCATAGAACATGGCCACGTGTATGCCAGAATCATCCAACTGAAAAGCTGTTGTAACATCTAGTGAACGAAGATGCCACAATGAGAGTCTTGGTCCTCCACCACACAGCTGTAATTAAAGCATAATAAAATTCCTTTAATATCATGATGCACACATCTAACTGCTTGTGACAGAATTGTTCTGGCTAATAAGACTTAACATATACAGAAAGAAACAACAGTGATGTCACAATGAACACACTGTGTTCTAATTAGTAACCAGACAGCTACTCCAAAACTCTAAATCACTGACTTGAAATAGTGTTAGTCCTATGAACTTTTGCTGAAGAGGCTAATCTAGAGGGAACGCTGTCAACTTGTATTTGGAAGCTGCTCAGTTTAAATCTTGGTTGGGACACTGCTACCCTAAATTAGTCTCTTGTGGTTTTCTGAAGTCCCTCTGGACACTTGTGATAGTACTTCAATTAGGCCATCAATACTTCCTGCCACATCCTTTCCTGTTTACCAGATATCCTACCGTCTGACACTGTATAGTCTTAACACTTTGCGGACCGCGCACCCTTTAAAAAGTTTTTCCCTTTTAAACATGGCGGACCGTTCGCATGTTAACAGGCTTTTAGAACACGATAAGTTGCAACACACTATACATCGCTCTGGCACCACCTACATTGCACGCAACCGCCTGCAGATGCGTGATAAGACTCTGGAATGTTTAGTTAGCAGTCAGTAACTTGACCTCGCTGTTTACTTAACCGACTATAAAGGAAAATGCTTTGCCTTCTTCAAGCTGTGTGTATCAGCCAGTAGCTAGTGGGGAGAATGGAAATTCTCCTCTGATGACCTAGCTGACCCGCCTTGTGAGACGCGTAGTAATGATTTGTCATTCAGACAGTGACAGTGACGGGGGACAACAAAGAATTGTGGCCACAGACAGTAAAAGTGACAGTAGCTCCGACGATAATGCGGGTAATAACATTGCGTGTAGTAACATTGCGGGGACAGCAAAAACTCTAAACAAAATCTAAACCCTGATTCAAAATTGAAATACAAAGCATTTCTGATGAATGTGGCAAAGGCCTGGGCTACAGTCCAGATGGTGGCGGCAGAACCAGGGTCACACAAAGACTTAGTACGACGGGGCCCATCAACTCCCACCCTATGAAGGCCTCATGTGGACCCCCCAGGGCGACTCTTGAGTGATATCCAGAAAAATACCCTCGTGAAAATTGTGAAGAGTGAACATTCCAAGGGGAAGAATACTTCTAGACAATGCCATGTTTGCACAGTTCACAAAAAAAGGAGTATGTCTACATTTGCAAGTTCTGTGTAATGCCACTTCACAAAGGGGAAAGTTTCCAGAAATATCACACCCTCAAGCACGTCTAGGAGCACTGGTAAGTGTTCTTCAAAAATTTTAGTTCAAAAAATTAATTAGGAGATTTTATATTAACTTTTAAAGTGAACAGTGCGAAAGTTAGGGTAGTATGTTTAAAAATGCCAGTCCCCAGGGTGATTTAAATATTTAAATCACCGGTCCACGAAGTGTTAATAATGAAAGCATTGTTAAATAACTCAACCCTACAACCCTTTACATACTGTTGCCACTTCATGTGGTGTGCCATCTAAAGCAGATCAGTTGGTAAACCTCATTCTATCGTAACAGAATAAAACATATGGTAGCAGTAACTAATCTAATAACTGCCTGTAGAAAGTTTCAATACTGTGTACTGATAAACATTTAGAAAGATGAGAAAAATATTTTGGTAACTTAAATTATGATCACCTGCTATCCAGTAAACATACTTATGCTGTTAACAAACAGTGCTTCCAGTGTGAGGGTTCATATCTAATTTCAGGCTAGACCAATAAACTGAGCTTGAAACTAGCATTACTCACATAAATAAATCAGAGTTTCTGTGTCTCTAAAATGAAGTGTGACTTGATCCCGTACCATCTGCCCTCACTTTCAACGTAACACAACATTAACATGCATACACAATGAATAAAATATTCTAGGGAAGGAAGGCCACAGGACGAGACTCAATATGATGTAACAGGATTAACAGTTTCAAAGGCACCAGAACATTCCCCCTTAAATATTTCTTTTGCATGTTATTTCACAAGACTGTCAGTAGCCAGACAATATAGCATGGAATGGTATCACACACGAGTCTGGAAAGAAGCAGGTAATATCCCAGCATCTCCATAGAGGGACTGAAGAAAACCACAACAGCCAATGTCCTTGTAGAGATTCAAATTAAGCATCTCCCAAATATAAGTCTACAGCACTACTTCTATGACACCTAGCTCAGTTATTTTCAATAGGGATAAGTAGACATACAGATTTCAACATAAGATTTCTTCCAGTTCAGTTACAGTATTAAGAGAGGGCACATGGTAGCGTACTTGTTTGAGGCACTATGATACAAGTTGGAATGTCATGGGTTTGATTCCCAATCTCATGGAATTTTTCAAATTTCCTCATCCTTCCAACTGAAATATGGCCCTGAGGTCCACTAAGCCTCTAACAGAAATGACTACCAGGAATTTTCCTGGGGGTAAAGGATGGCCAGCACATAAGGGTGACAACCTGACTGCCATCTGTGAACTGACTGTCTAGAAAATGCAGGGGCCTTGACATCTCACAACCCTATGATACTCCACAGCCTCTTACAGGAATAGCTTTACCTCCCCCCCTTCTTTTAGTTTTAGTTTAAAGAAAAGTTCTGACTGCCATTAAATCTAATAGTCCTGACCTTGTCAAATTTAGTAATAAAAATTAATTTTGGGCCATCTGTCCATTTGAACCCTTTAAGACACCTCAACATTTGGACTTTGAAAACACTTCCATTACATATTTACAGATTTCATTGTGGACCTATTAACTGCGATTAATCTATCCATGCACAGAACTGTAACTCTGAAAAACAGAAATTCAAAACAGCCACTTTACTTAAGGGCTAAATATAATATTATAGGTACCCCATTAAGGATCATAATGTTCCATTTCTTCAACATAATGAGCTGTTTTCCAGAAGGTGGTCACCAGCATGCAAAATGGACTTAATTACAAGGGTTCCCAGAGTCGTTTCCTGGTGATAATATAAACACATCTGACTGGTGTGCCAGACTTCAGTGTGAGTCTGATGCTACATTTGTTCTAGCTAAAAAGTTCAGTCATTGCAAAGTAATATAAATGTTATGCAGAGTTACCCCAGTGTATCTTAATATTTCATTCCCTTTACATTACAGCACTTCCTGCTACTATTCTCTGTTTACATGGTTGTATAAGGTCAGAAATCTCTAGCTGTGTTCTCTGTTTTACTATAAGTCTAGCACATAACACGGTAATGAACCTTTGGGTTCCATAATATGCTGGGTGCACAATTGGTGGCTTCTCAAGAAAGGCTCAGCTCCATGAGTGAGTATGACTGCATGGGCTCCTGTTAATGATACTGTAGCAGCAGCTGATTCCTCTTACCAACCAGTCTTCACTTAAGGAAGCAGCACCAATCCATTTTCCAAGCTCTGGCCGCACCAGTTTCTCACTCAAGTATGGTTGTACAGTGTTCGTGCGTATCTTCTGCCTCATGTCCCATAATCTTACAGAACCATCCTCACTTGCAGACACAAGTTGTGACCCACTGAATTTACACACAAAAAATATAAAATAATTTTTGTTCTGGCAATGGAATCTAGGATATTGAACAGTGTCATTTACCAGCTTCCAATGAGCAAACCATTAGCATTCCCTTAGACCAGAAAATCTATTAGGACTTAACTTGTGTTTAAAGAGAGCAAGACAATTTAACAGCTGGAAAGGAAAGAGAAAGATAAGTAAAGGGCACTGTTTTAAGGGCTTATTTATTACTTACATATTGTGGATGCTGTGGATATAGTCATCATGGCCCTCCAAGGTTCTTACCAGTTTTCCATCCTCCAGAGTAAAGATGTAAATTTTGTTATCACCACAACCAGCATATATATGTCCATCTGTCTTGCAGTATAACATGGAGTTGACATCAGGCTTTTCTAGGGCATCTCTGTAAGAACAGGTGAAATATAAAGAATGATACTACAGCATGTAACTTTCATGTCTGGTTCTGTCCATTCCGTTTCCTGTGGTGAATGAAGTACAGCACACTGAAAAATATTATGAAGTTTACTCCATACTCTGCCCATAAGTTTGGTAGCCATGGCTGGTAAAGCAGTGTGTAAATAATGCAGGATAATTTTTTATGCAATTCAAATTCTTATCATCAATTTTTAAATGAGATGAGTAAATTCTTATTTCTTAATTTGAGTGCTATATCTTCTAAAGAGTTTTGACTGCTATATATTGCAACATATCCACATCCCAAGCAAAGAACTGGTACTTCTTATACTTAACATAAATACTCTGACAAAATGGCTGAAAGCTGGAATAGTGGAACAAGAAGAGGTGGCAGTTGCTAGGCAACAGCATGACACAACATATAGGAAGTAGTGAAGAAGGAACCGGGTCACCCTGTTCCTGGGGGATATAAATATGGGTACCTGGCCCTCCAGGTTGGGGGGAGTCTCAAATCTGAGACTATAAAATGTGGTCATGAGTCCCGATGGACTCAGTCTTGAGTCTTCTATATTCAAATTTATTATTTATTCATTCATTCATTTATTTATTTTATTTCTGTTAATCCAGGCTGGTACAACCGTTGGATATAGAGGAAGTCAAGGAACATGCAGTCATAAAAAGATTCTGTCAAAAATAAATATAAGATTAACAAGCAAATATAAATATTACAAGGAAACAATTTAAAAAATTATAAATATAGATAATATTTTGAATTAATAAACAGATAAAACAATTCAACTTATCTAACTTTGTAAAGCGGCCTCCGTAGTCTAGAGGTAACGTTCCCACCTCATGACTCATGGTACGCGGGTTCAAATACCCGGCGGAGGTCGTCGAATTTTTAAGCGCGGAAAAATTCAGGGAACAAGTCCTCCGGGAGGGACTTTAAGCTGTGTGTCCCGTGTCTTAACTTTACGGCAAGTAAAAGAACCTCATATCCCCAAAGGGGATCACTGAGCCAAATTCCAGGACGTTTCCCACCCAACAATAGCCTCTAAGGCCTCTGATAGATGGGGGAAGCATTATAG